CCATAAAAGCCCTTCTGCTCATTTTTCCCGGGGAACCACTGGCCGAAAACTCCACTCTTGAGCGCACGCCACTGCACTCAAATGTCATTAATCCCCCATCAACCCCACCCCCAATCACCCCAAAAGCCTTTGCATGTTTTCTGGGCTTCAAGCGCAATCAATCATCAAAATCCCCCCAGTTTCAATCGCCCCCAAACCTCATGGCAGGCAGGTCCAAGTCGGCCGCGCTCCTCCTGGCAGCGGGCGCCCTCCTAGGGCAGATTCCGCCCCAGCTGCTGCAGCGCCGGGCGCTCCGGGCGCCCTACCAGGCCTACTTAGTGCTGCGCTCCTGCCTCATCTGCGGCATCTGCTTAACTGTCATGTGGACGCCCAGGCCCATTATCCACGACGTCGCCCTGGGCGTCTTGCTGTGGCAGGACGCCCTCCTCACCTGGCTGTTGCTGTTCGGCGGGCGGCCCATTTGCGCGCTGCTGAAGCCGCTGGGGAACGGCCGGCTGTGGGCGTGGTGGGTGCTGATGGGGGCGCGTGTGGGCGCATCCCTCCTCTCCTGCTCCTGGACCGGCCTGATGTGGTGCTGGATGTTCCTGCGGTTCCATGCGGCCCTGGGCGCGCAGTGGGCGCTGCTGCGCCTCCTGCTCGGGCAGGTTAGGCGCCTGAACTGCGGCCTGGGCGGCGCCCAGGACCTGCGGGCGCTCATGGCGCTGCAGCTGCGCTTCTTCGCCACCATCGCCCAGGTCAACCGGGTGTTCGGGCTGGCGCTTTTCGGCTTCATTGTGCTCAACGTGGTGCTGCTGATCGGCACTCTGAGTCTGCTCGGGCTGATCGACTTCAGCCAGCTGCGGCCCCAGCAGATCTTTCTCGAACTGTTCAACGTTGCCAGCTTCCAGGTRAGTTCCCAGAYCGTCGTRTWTTCGCTCGCGCCTTAATCGCCGTTTGTGACGGGTTTCAGCTGCATCTGGCCGCTGTCATCCTGGCCGCTGATCAGCTGCAGACGGAAATTGCGCGMACCATCAGCTGCAGCTACAAGCAGGCGTGGCTGGAGCAGTTGGGCGCCCGCAGGGCCACCCTGATTAAATTGGCCGAACAAACGCACCTGATGCGGCTCCCAATCAAGGCGGCCGGCATTTTGGACGTTGACAATTCGACGTTTGTTTTCATTGCTTCAACCGTTTGCACCTACGTGACTGTGGTGTTCCAGATGAAGGTCCAATAGGCATTCAATCAATAAAAAAAAGTTTTAGAAGCGCCCGGGGCTGCGCCCCTGGAGCCAGTTGTTGTCTCTTTCCATCATAGCAATTGCCATCGTTCTATCTCTCTTCGTTTGGCTGCAATCAACTTTTCAATTTCTGGGCGCAACTTAGGTTGA